AGAGTGAGTGCCGTGGCGTCAGCCTAGCTCACAGCAACCTCAAACTCCTGGGCTCAAGCAATCTTTCTGCCTCAGCCTCCCGAGTAGCTGGGACTTACAGGCATGCGCCACCATGCCCGGCTAATATTTTCTATATATATAGTTTTTTAGTTGTCCAGATCATTTCTTTCTATTTTTTTTGGTAGAGACGGGGTCTCGCTCTTGCTCAGGCTGGTCTCGAGCTCCTGATCTTGAGCGATCCACCCGCCTCGGCCTCCCAGAGCGCTAGGATTACAGGCATGAGCCACCGCGCCCGGCCTTATAAAAATATTTTGATCAAGTGGCTAAACAGAAAATTGATGAAAATATTTTGATTACAAAAAAAAAATTAAAAATTCCTGAGGCCCTGGGATTCCCGCTTACTGCCTGCCCCCAGCGCTAACCCCAGGGTCTTCAAGTGGTAGGACCAAGAAGATAAATAGGCGAGCACAGGTGAGAGCTTGCCTGCAAGACTAGAGGCCATTCTTATACATCTGCCCATCCCTAAAGCTGTCTTTCAAGGGCCGGTCTGCTCCTGGAGAGCCGCCAAGGCAAGGCTGTGGGCTGGAAAAGGCCCCGATCCCACATCTGGACAGAGGAAGGAGGACTCTTCCCAATCTCACCCCACAACAGCAACTACTGGGAGAAGAGGTCTCTGGGTGACATTTCCCAGTTACATGCATACACAAGGACCCTCCTGGCCACATTAATAAAACCGAACCCCAGTCCGACAAGGGAAGGGTATTTCCTTCATGGGGAAGGTCAAGTTTTGGGTGAAGGTTTAATGATGGCGGTCAAGCATCAGACATGGGATAAAATGCAACTAGCAAGGCTGACTTACAGGTGTGTGGTTCATTCACCTTCAGCTTGGAGACTGACATAGGGTACCTCCCCACTAGCTCGCCACCTTCACCGCCAAGGTGGAGGTCATTCCACTCTACCACAGACCCCCGGGTGGGCAACGAGGCCGGGTAAAGACAGCCAACACTGACCGAGTGCTCACCAGGTGGCCAGGCAGAGATCTAAGAGCTTCTAGGTATCTAACGTTTAATGCCTCCTGCTTTGAAGGCCTGATTTTTAATTTACTAAAGGGTGTTTTTAGTATGCTGTTTTAGATAGATAATAGGTAGATAGATGAACAGACTGATTTGGGTATATGTAAATAGGTTCTTATATCTTGCCCAGCAACCTAGTCGGCATGTCTAACGTGCGCTGTATGGGAGAAATGCACTTTAAACTACTTTCAAATGAACTTCTGGAACAGCCTACTACTAAGTAGGAGACCAGCTTAAAGTTTCTCACTCATCAACTGAATGCTTGGAATGATAGTTTTAAGACACAAGGGCACAACTGCAAAAGAGCTTTGTCACTTATAAAACATTTTCGAAACATGGACATGGCCCCGCGAAGGAACATTTAAGTCCATCCAGGTATTATACCACAAAGCTGAACGCAAAAACATGCTTTTCAAATTTGTTGTTCAGCCTTGAGTAAAATTATACGAATACATTACTTCACTAGTTAGAACTTGTGAAAATAGAGATTTAAGGAGGACAACTAATTTCAGTTTTTAAAAAGTCACATGGTTTGCATTTTATTGTACTTTATGGAAATGACAAAAATAAGGTTCTGAAGAAAATGTTGATAAAATCTTCACAAAACCGTCACACACATGTCATTATATTAGAAGGCTACTCCTACGACTTATTTCTCTAGAGGTGGGAAAACTGGCAGAGTTCTGACCTGTTTCCTTCTGCGTGCACAGAGGGGGTTGTGGGAGAAGGGTGGATTCTCGAACCTGGCTGTTAAAAAGCAGGGCTGGGGAAGTGACATTGACCAAACCCCAAATCCCAAAACAAGCAGGCAGATGTCTCATGTGGGGTGGGAAGGGCCTGCCACTCTTGTGCTTTGTGAGCCACCGGTCCAGCCTCCAAATGTCCCAGCTCCTTTCCGGAGCTGACATCTGTCTGAGGCTTCCAGAAAAATCCTTACATCACTCTCCTACTATCACCAGCAGAAGAAAGGCTCACAGATCTCTCCCTCACCCCACCCTTTCCCCCACTGGCTGGCCTCTGGCTGGACTTCACCATCGCCACCCTAGCAGCCAAATGTGCCCGGCGTTTCCTTCCTCAGTGGCTCCTGCCTCTCGGGACCTCACAACGGCCCACTGAAGGAGTCATCACCGCTCTCCCTGGTGGGCAGGCAAGGCCACCTAAGCCCGCAGTTTCATGAGTCGCCTGTGAATCCAGACTGTCTGCTTCCGAAGTTCAGATTCTTGACCATGGGCCAATAAGCCTCCCTACTGGCACTCCCTAGCTTGTCTTCCTGACTTCTCCAAATGCCACCGCCATCCACCCATTATGGGAGTGCACCATGCTTTGTCCCTTCCCTCATCCTGGCCCTCAATCACTCCCCAGCTTGGATTCCCACAGCCCAGCTCTCCAATTCTGCACGCCCAGACTCAAGAACATTCAGCGGCTACACACTGCCCAAATGACTCCTGACAGCTGCAATCTGGCACTCAACGGCTGCCAAGAACGGCCTTGACCAACCTTACTTCCCTCAAATCTCTTGAGCATTGTCTCTGCTCGGCCAAGTAATGACTTTGTACCACTAGGTCATATCTCGTGCCTTCCTGCTTCCTTTTCCTTCTACTGTTTGCTTTGCCTAGGATGCCATCCTGACATGTCACCTCCTACTCAGCTCAAATGGCCAAATGTCAGCTGCTGCGGATCCCCCAAGTGGAGCAAATCTCTCCCTTGCTAGGACGCTTATTTTGTTTATCAATGGCTCTCACCTTGCACCATAATTATAAGAATTTGGTCTCCTTTAGAGACTGTAAGTTCCTTGGGGGCAGACTCTGTTTCTGACCATTTCTGTGTCTCTGTCGTGCCCAGCTTTGGCCTTGCACACAGGGGTGGCCCATAGCTATCCGCCACTGCCCAGTGGTCTGTGAAGGAAGGCAGGCAGGAAGGGGCGGGACACCACCGGAGAAATGGCACAATGACAAGTGGCATGTTAACTTCTCTTTAAGATTCTCCTGAACTTTCCTGGGACACACACCTAGGATGTCAGCCACATCCAAACATTTCCTCGTGCGATTGCATGTAAGCAGGGTCACCTGACAGGGATCAGCCCCATTCTCCTTTTGAGGGTCTAAGACTAAGACTTCCTTTCGGTGGACCCCACCCCACTTCTGTGGCTCTGTTCGGGCCGACAGCTCTCAGAGGGAGAAGCCATCTTTCTTCCCAGTAAGAGCCACAACGCCAGAACTCCAGAATACACCACCCGTCACATATTGGACAATGAACTTTTACTTGAACCAAAGGGCTGTATTAGGTCTCCATATTTTAAGATGTAAAACATTTACTTTGAGAACAAAACATAATAATTAAAAAGTCTAATAAAGACGTTTCTGCCTTTTGGAAACCAATTATGACATTCTTAAAGGCTCAGGGCAGCTTTCCCATTTCTAATTTCTAGTTTTTGCGGCTCTTGTTCTAGCTACACAATTATAGTCAGGCATACATAAACCCTTCGCACTTTATAGACCTGATTAAAGGAGAGCTCTACATGTAGGTAGAACCTAGTGGTGCCCAGAGGCTTTGGAAAAAGTGATTATTTTGCATCCTCACTGCTGAAAGACGATGGTCATTTTGCCTGGCCACTCTAAAAGGGGACGATGTTGTCAGGCAAGGCAATCCAAGCGGCATGTGGGTCAGTTTAACAACAACAAAGTATACTTGATTTTCTGGGCACTGTAATACCATGATTTAGGCACAACTCCATGAGCAAAGTGTTCTCCCGTGGTGAAAGTACTACTAAAAAATGACTCTGAGGTTTTTCCCAGGAAAAACTTACAGTAGTGGCTGGTAATCAAGCACGACTGTTTATTTTCTCCAGAACCTGCATGTCATCCTGTCGACCGCCTTAGCACCAGAACTCACCGCGCCTCTGTTGTTCAGCTGGGGCAGCAAAGCCGAAAGCAGGGGAGTGATCAGAGCCCCCGACTTTTACCTAGATCCCCTCAGGACAGAAGTGCTGGCAATGTTGGCTCCTGGCAGCTGGCAGTGGCGTCCCTCCCACGCACTGCCCTCAGCTGAAGGGAGCAGCTATCCTCTCCTCGGGGCAGCCCACGTCTGAACACAGACAATCCGAAGTGCCCATCCCAGCTCTACAGCTCTCAAGCAGGGTCGGTGGAGGCCTCCACTGCAGCTGTGTCTGGGTTCAATGTCCCCTTCACCCAATCCTGCTTCCCCTACAAGTCCTGTCTGAATGGCATCTCCCAGTAAACCTCCCAACTGTAAACCTCTGCCTCGGAGTCTGTTTCCCAGGGAACCCGACCCAAAACGGTGAGGAATCACATTTTTCATGGTGAAGAACCGCATCAAGCTTTGAGACGGAACAAAGGATGGAGGGCAACCAGCCTCAGGAATGTTAAGCAACCCATGACTGACCTCCCCGCCCTCACTGCCCTGGGCAAGCTGGCCTGGCTGGGTGGGGGACATCGGCAGGCCCCGGCCTAGTCCCCTCCTAGCTCCTGTCACGGAGATGCTCACAAATCAGCTTTGATCTCCATCCAAGGGCTGTGGGCCCTGCGCCAGGTCTGGCTGGCATTTAAAACTAGCATTTCAATCCCAGCGGATGCCAGGAAGGGGGCATGACTGATTTGTGCAGCCCTGGGTCAATCAGGCCAGGGTCTACATGGAACACATGCTTTAGAAATGATAGATTTGCCAGGACTCTCGAATTAACCCCAGACAGCTCAATGTACCTACTCGGTGTATCCTCTGCTTAGCAACAAAAATACATGACAAAGAAAATATGGACCTTTTATAATGTCATATAGAAGGCTAACAATAATAAAGTAGGGGGAAAAAAAAAGGAAAAGAAACTAAAACACACTTGAAATACAAAAGAGAAGTGGCCAGCAATGCTTTACAAAAATCAGCCCTAAAAAAGGAGGCAACAGAAAGGTTTTAGACCTGACATAAAATAATATGAATAGAGAATGAATTGCCGGAGATAATTTTCTTGTATATTCAATGTTAAAGCTAATTTATATATGTCCAATGCTCATTTTCTCTCTGTTCCTGGTCCAAAGGGAAAAAACTGCATGCTCTAAACACTTGTAAATAAGATCCAATGTGTGGAGAATTTATACAGCACATATTGTGATCACATACTTAAGACAACTGATCTACTTGAAATGGTCTTAGAAAAAAAAAATAGGGTGCAATAAACACTTCACAAGTCAGTCATGAGTAAAGAGGATTAGTATTATTACTGAAGACCACTATATTTAAGAAGACAAAAAGTCCTACTAAACTGACCAGTTAGATCATGGATTTAAGTCTAACCTTTTAAAAGGCCAACAATTAAAGTGTATTAATCATTAGATTCCAGAGCATCTGTAAGTGAGACAGGAAAAAGATGGTCCTCTTCCCATCGTAACTCATTTGTAACACACAGCAGAGTACAGGAAACTGCCATATTCGAGAACATACTATGAAAACTGTAAGCACTTCGACTGTATAAAAAGTGAAGTATGGCTACAAATACTTGCCCCATCTACTGGATCTTGTTAATAACAATTATCACCCTTTTGATCTGGTCCAAGAACCGAATCCTGGCAGTGATTTCATCCAGTGGTTCCTACTTATTTCCTTTGGCTTCCCTCACATCTTTTCTAAATTTTCCCAACCAATCTTTGAAACTGTTTGTTTAAAGAAGGTGACTTGTTGCCACACTGAAAGTCATAAAAACCACCACATATGCCCTGTGGCATGGCTGGTTGGCTAGTCTAGTAGCAGGTCACCCTCATTCTTACCCAGTACCTACCATTTTCCACAAAAATCACAATCAAAGGTAAAATTTCTATTTGTGAGTCTGGCAATACATACATTTTATACTTTATGACTTCCAGTAGATATGTTTAGTTTACAGTAATATTACATTTGAAGACTGCAGTTTTAATAACTGTTTTGCAATACTAAAATGCTTCCTGTTTTACATAATTACCCCCAACAGAAGCACTTTTGGTTAATAAGTTATCTAACTCAGAGTGGCAACTACACATAAAATGCTGAAACTTACCATGTGCCATTGTTAGACTTGATTTAGCTTCCAAAGTCGGCGGGGCTGGGGCATTCACTGAAACGGCACAAAAAAGAAAAAGCTCACAGGTTCCATAATTAAACCACAAGCATCTGAGCATGATGGTAACCAAATACTCCTCGTGTTAGTCAAGATAGGTAACAGCCCATAAGGGACAGATGTTTTAAACGACAAAGACAGTACATAACTAACCTAAACCAATTTTTCATAATAGCTTTATTGAGATATAATTCACCCATTTAAAATATTCAATTCAGTGGTTTTTAGTATATTCACAGAGCTGTGCAACCGTAACTGCTATCAAATTTTAGAACTACCCCCAAAACACGTGTACCCATTAGCCATCACATCTCATTTCTCTCCCCTCCCCAGGCCCTGGCAACGATTAATCTACTTTCCATCTCTGTGAATTTGCCTGTTCTGGATGTTTCATACGGTAAATGGAGTCATACAATATGTGGCCCCTTGTGTCTGGCTTCTTTCACTAGTTTTCCAGGTTCATCCATGTTGCAGCATGTATGAACATCAGCATGTATTTTTATGTCCAAATGACATTCCACTGTATGAATAGACTACATTTTATTTATCTGTTCATTAGCTGATGGACATTTAGATTGTTTCCACTTTCTGGCTAATACGAATAATGCTGCAATGAACATTCATGCGCAATACACCAATTTTGAAAGTACTCCAATCCCTGGGCTGGAAGACACCAGGTGAAGACATTAATTCAGCCACAGCCCTTAGAGAGGAGCTTACCTGACTTAAGTAAGACTAAACGCTATTTTAAATTTCTCCAGAAAATTAGATTCCACAACCCCTCTTCCAATATTTGACAATTCTTAACTGAGGGCCTCCCTGGGCTATTATGTTGTCCAGGCTGTTTTCACTAAACAACAGTTGTCTTTTAGTTTACTGCCACTTTCTCTAGTTTATGAAGATAGACCTTTAATTCTAATCCTACCTTAAAAGGGGCCACAAACTCCAGCTACTTCGACAGGGATACATTTTTTTGTTGTTACAATGGCTACTGGTGAAAGTGTTCAACTAACTCCTGTTTGTAAATTGCTAACAACCTCTGGGTATACGCTTTCAAACCCATTTGCAATTTGTATAATCTAGAACACGGTTTGGCAAACTACAGCCCCCGGGACATACCCAGCCCACTGCCTGTTTTTCTTGGGACACAGCCAAGCTCATTCATTCAAATATTGTCTATGGCTGATTTTGCACTTACAACAGCAAAGCTGAGTAGCTGCAAAATGGACCATCTAGCCTGTGAGGCCTAAAACTGTCACTACCTAGCCCTTTACAAGAAAAAAGAAAAACCCGAATATTAACTATTTCTGGTATAGATATTATTCCAGCTAGGAGAATTGAAAGTTAATCTTGTTAAAATTGATCACAACCAGGTCTTCTTCCTAAACTATGGAATTCATTCCCTTGTTAAGGAAGGGTAGTAAGCCAGGTCTAGAATGACTGACTAGTGTCTACATCACCAGTGGCATACGGATTGGTGGGTCGACAGGTTTTATCACACCTGCCTCACATAAGACATTACAGACCTTTCCTTTTGCTGGGTATGGAGTCTGATTTGTTGTTTATCTCTTAAGCTGTCTTTCACTTTATGATTTGGATTTTCTGATCTTAACACTTCAGAGCGTGTGTGTTTTCTTTTAAGTAAAGAGACATTTCCCTGCCATCACGAGGGCCTTGGCTTTTAGATCCTTTTCCGTGCTGGGAGGAGAAATGGGAACGTGCCAACCACCCTTTCTTGCCTACTCATCACAATGCACAGAGATCCCACTTGTGAAGGGACCCTGTCTATGCGCCTTTTCCCCCTGGAATTCTCTAGAGCTAATGGCATCCACATTTTTTTGGCCATGTGCTCCAGTCAGTAAAAGGTACTCCCAATATACACATATTTATTTAAATAAATTGTACATACACTATGATGCAAATAATACGTACATTTTAAAACAAAAAAAATTTGAAAAATTTAAAAGGATAAGATTCTTTTTAATATATAAAAAGAACTTCTAATAATTTCTTTCCCCTACTCCAATAGATCATTCTGCATACCTCCAGGGGCTCTGAACACCCCATTTGGGGAAAAACTACTCTCACTAAATAGAGCTTTGGAATTTTTTTCTTGCTTGTGTATTTGAGCTTAGTCAGCTGATGAAGATTATTTTGCTTAAATAATTTCATCTTTGGACCTTTCCATTCTTCTCTGAAATGTGTTTTTTTAATTTTATAAGATACGTTTAAGCCAGTTTCTCCTCTCCCCTCAGCTCTACTCTTGGCACTTAAACTCCCCATCACCTCCCAACCTCTTTAGCTTCGAGAAGCAACGTCAAGAAGCTTCAAGAGGCCGGGCACCGTGGCTCACGCCTGTAATCCCAGCACTCCGGGAGCCAAGGTGGGAAGATCACGTGAGGCCAGGATTTGGAGGTTGCAGTGAGGTAGGATTGCTCCACTGCACTCCAGCCTGCGTGACAGAGTGAGACAGTCTCCAAGGAGAAAAAAAAGAAGAAAGTTTCAAGAAGCACCTGAAAAGACTGAGCAGTTAAAACATTAGCATTTTCTAGTCAGTTGTGCCAAATTCCAAAACGCGCTCATTAATGTCCTTTGGTCACTACGCAGTCCCCTCATAAGTCCTGGGCCCACATGCGTGGTGTCCTCACCCAGTGCCCAGCCTCAGTCTGGGCTCCTCAAGTAAAGATCCCTGTGCATCTGCCCCTCGCGCCCACCAGCGCCAGCTCCCTGACTCCCTCCACCCACAGATCTTTCCCGAATGGAAGTAAAGATATTTCAACTACTTAACTATTATCTTAAAAAAAATCTGTCGGTTTCTAAACTGTAAAGATTATGTCTTTTTGGTTTCCTGCCGAATCTTGACAGCTCTGGGAGACAGACCAGATGACCGAGCTGACTGCAAGTGAGGACAGACAGAACACCTGTTCAAAGCTGGCAGCAGCAAGAGTCTCAGCATTGCCAAAATGTGGTGGCCACCACAGGCAGGAGCATAGTCACACAGTGTGTCACTTGGCGAAATCTGAAAGTATAACCTGGAGCGATGCCAAGGAATTTTTAGTCATCCCTTTACAAGGCAAATTGTGAAATACTAGCTATGGCTAATCAAAATCGCCACAAAATCACGCGGATATTTACAGTCCTGGGTTTTAGAACTAGGTCAAAGCCATGAATCAAAATAAATCATTATGCAGTCTCTCAACACATTAGTTTTCAAAGAAAAGTCTCTAAAAATAACAAATAAGTAAAAGACATGTTTTGGCTTAGTATTTTAAAGATACCTTTAGAGCCCTGAACCTACTGTAGAAACTTACCAAGTGCGGCTGGGGCAGTTGGCTTAGATTCGAAAGTTTGCCAGGCTAAAGAAGTCCCTGAAATGACAAAAAAAAAAAATGAATTAGTAACAAAAATCACAAGCTAAGGATTAAATTTTGGCAACCCTAATTTTTATCGTCCAGAAAAACAATAAATAAAATGTACTGCCGGGCCCACCCGGGAAGTTGCTAGAGGTTCGGGTCAGCCTGCGGCGCCACCTGAGAGCAACTGAGGCTCATTTCCGGGAAGCACAGGCGACGTTCTCACTCGGGCCAGTGCGGGGAATAGTAGCTGCTGGACGGAGCTCCCATCGCCACCCACGTGACAGTTTCCTGGAGAAATTCCAAGGAAGTCTGTTTGAGCTGAGGCTGCTCGCGCCGAGGCCTGAGGCGCCGTTGGGGAGCATGAGGTTTGACCCGTCACCTGAGTAGCCCGAAATTTGTGGCGTGTCTGACCTCTCAGGAGTTCAGAAAATACAAGAAACGCTTCTTCGAGGCCGTCAAACGCGAGCTTGGCCTACAGGACTCAAAATTTATTGAGAGAATTTGGCCGGGTCCCAGGCACGCACACAAATGGCGCCAATCACGTGACCTGCGTGGCAGCCTTTACCTTCCCTGGGCTCACCCAGTAGCAGTTTCAGGTAGATCAGGCCGGAGCCGAGCGCGGCCGTCAGCATCATGGGCGCCAGCAGGAAGAACCAGGGGTGCGCGCCCACCGCCCAGCCCAGCCAACCGAAGGCGCGGGAGAGCGGCGCCTCCAGGCAGTCGGTGTGGCAGCGG